AAATTGACATGCTTTATTTGTGCAACTTATTTATATAACTGCGTTTGAACGTTGCCCGAAAATACACGGGCTCGCATCCGCACGACTCCGTAATGCCTGGCCACATTTATTATTTCTCGCTGACATTACGCGTTTCGACTGGCCCGGATTGCTGTCAGAAACAAACGTTGTCACGTTTGCTCGCCTCAAGGTCCCGACAGAGGGTTAACACGGGCACGATAACGAGAAAATCGTTCTGCAGCAGCAGCCGCCAGTAGGTCACGACCTCCTTCCTCTTTCAATTCTCTGGAGGTCGATAGCCTCATTTCTGGTGGAGCGCGCCAATTCCATGACCTACCTTCTCTCGCGAGCCTACACGACCGTAGACACGCAGATACGCGAATCTTTTTTTTTCCCTCCATTTTATTTCCCTTTTATCGTAGCCACATCGCGAGCAGACACACTTTCTCACCGTACACGGAGAGAATGTTTTTTTCTGAAAATTTATCCCGAAAATCATGTAATCGTGAGACAACATGGCATTTCGAACAACTTTGTGAGAGTTTTTCGAAATTTTACCATACTTTTCACTAGTAATTATACTTAGTGTACATTTCACTAGTGAAATGTGTAGTAAAGTTTCAAAAAACTCTCATAAAGTTGTTCAAAATGCCACGTAGTCCCGTGACTACGTGATTTTCAGGGTAAATTTGAATAGAAAATTTTCTCCGCATAGTATTCGTTTTACAAATTGCGCGATCATCGATCGCTTTTGGCAACAATGACGTTCCATTTACACACACAGACGCCTTCGAATAAAACAAGCTTAATTATAATATAATTCCGAGTAACGTCGAGTTATGCAAAAGTATTGTATTTTCTTGGTAATTAAATACACTGGTATGTACAACTAGATTCGAGGGATATATTATGTAATTATTGTGAGTAAAGAAATCGAATTTGCTCCAGCTCCATTTTTCTCCTCTCTCAACGTGCCACCGGGGCAGAGTTAGTCACTTTGAATATAATGCAAGTTTCATGCTAAGGATTTGAAAAATATTTACGTATTTACGCGACAAACTCACCGAAAATCCGATCAAATCGCAGGTAGAAAGAGTTCAAGTTTTCCGGGTTAATTTGAATACGCCAGGCTTTTACACGTACGCGCTTTCGGGGAGAAAGCTATTGCACCAGAAGCGAATTATAGTTTTGTATTACGTCTCGTTAGCGTCGATATACTTGGCACGATTTATTATCGTCGCCTTCGAGCTTCAGGGGCCGAGTATTTTTTCATTTATTCGCCGCCTACATCTCGACGAGATGGTTGATTCGGTATCGCAATACGTATGCGAATTACTCTCATGTACGATTATCTCATATTCTCTTTTAATTTAATTCCGCCGTTGAATCTCCATTGTAACAATTCGCTGTCCGCTTTTTTTTTGGTCCCTTTTTCTCTCGTCGCGTCGTATCATTATTGAAACTGTTTAATCCTTTCTATACTTAACGCGTACGGTCTCGTAGAGTCACGGGGCTACTCTCGATACGCGGTTTAATTATCTCGCAAAAGTGGAGGCGTTTTTTATAACATTTTGCGCGATAATAGCGCACGCGGTGTTAAACCCTTGCGTACGATTGACGGCTCGCACAGAACGAGCGGTGGCAGTGACCCATGACCCGGATCGCGGAAAGTGGGTGCCAGAGGGGCGTGTATGCACACCCGGCGAGGCCGAGGGGTTGGGGTTAGGGTAGGACATCGTCGAGGATCGATTTTCCCTCTCGGTGGGCTCCCTCCGCCCTCGGTGCGCGCAGGAAGGGAGGCTGGATCGCGAAGGGAGAGGGTCCCGGCACAGAGAAAGGAGCGGGCGCGAGTGAATGAGAGCGGGTATATGAGAAAGGTAAAGAGAGCCTGGACGTGTGTGCGTGCATGCGCGCGCGTACACGAGCGCGCGCGAGAGAAAGAGAACGTTCGCTCTCCGAAAGGGGTGACGGAGGGTGGAGACTGAGGGAGGCTGAGGGTGAACGCGAGTACAAACATGGGACGCGAAATAGCGCGCGCGCAAGGGAGAGAGAGAGATTCCCTTGGGCGCTCCCGATATTCCGCCCTTCTTCAGCATCCGCTTCCGTTCTCCGTCGCGGCGTGCGCGCTATCGTCGACGCGTTTCCTGTAGGATTCTGCGGCATCGTACGTGTCCCGGTCTGAGACTCTCTACCGAGCAGGAGCACGGCACTCCTCTCGCTCCGGTGGAGCGACGACGGCGGGAGAGAAGAGAGAGAGAGAGAGAGAGAGAGAAAGAGGGATCGGCTCAAGCCCGGCCGCCCCAGGAGCGCGGCTCGATCGAAAGAGGAAAGTTGACACTGTGTCGGAGGGCTCCGACCGAACGACCGCCTCTGATAACGTTATTGGCCCGTATTCCGGCGACGCGTCTAAGCGTCTAAAAGCGTCCACTCGATTCCGCATTTCTCGTGTCTCTACGTCCCGATCACCCCGGCTTCTTTTTTCTCTCTCTCTTCTTACATCGAGAGAGAGAGGACTCTCCTCTGTAATCGATAGACACGCGACAAAAATAATTTGGCAGTTTCGGTAACAGCGGCAACGTAACGAGATATACTACTCGATAACGGTACACCCTATCGCAATCCGGACAGAAAATCGATGCAAATGAGATAATATGGTTTATATTATTATCCCGCGGTTCTATTCCAGCGAGTCGCAGATACGTACGGTGCACATAATGCGATGCAGTTGTTGCACAGCGGTAATGTCTCATGTAATTGTAACAATCTGATGGATATCGCGTCGCGAGCAATAGTCGTAAGATCGATGCGAATATAATAACATGGTTTATTATTATCCCGCGGTTCTACACCGGGGACGGGGATACGTATATAATGTTATGCGGTCAGTATATAACGCTGTTTCTCGTACAACTAATATAACTATGTAATGCGATAATATCGCGAATAATAGCCACAAAAGATCGGCGCGGATATAATAATACGATTTATTGTTGCGTGATCTAATATGCGCTTTGTTATCCCTTCGAGAATAAGTCGCTTTTTGCCGCCGAGCATTGGTTTTTAATTATAAATACAAGTTCTCGGTCGAATTATTCTTCCGAGAATAAAATCTCTTTTAATTCCATAATTATAAATATCCCTTTCTCTCTCTCTTTAAAGGCGGGAAAATATAAAAGTCCGAAACGTGCACTCGTCACAGTTGCAAAAGATCCAAAGGAAGTGCGTTAAGATATTTTTTTCATTCGAGTTACTCGATTACGTTAGCGCCGACTAAACCACGTTCTCGTGTAAAAACTGTTTCACATTAAGTTCGGAAATGACACATCTCGACGCATGTCGAGTATCTACGTCAGATATCGCGAAAGAGGAAACGCAGGAAAAAGTAGCTTCATTATCGAATTATTTCTCTCTAGACTCTCTTTTCCTCTGACACGCTCGGCACATGCTTTCTTTGTAGAGTCTAGACTTTTGAAAGTATACGAGTCTGTGTAAATTTTGAGAAGACCCTGTACGTGCAACTGAAGCAACGTGTGGAATTGAAGCATATGGAAAGCGACGTGCTATGTACAGACCTCCTTTATGCACTTTGCAAGAAATAGATAAAAACGAATGCATACATGCGCGAAGAAAAATTCCGTGGCGACGAGATCGTGCCTGCACACCTTTCTCGATATTTCTGCTTCGAATTTCCTTACTTTCGCGATGCACGTTCTCTGTCTCGAAATGGTATAAATTAAATTCTGGATCTCTCGTCATCTCTGGATCTCGATAAAATACAAATCGCCGCGCGATTTTCTTCTAATAAACGCATGTCTCTTCCAGAGCGGATTCTTCACGCGCGTTTCTTTTATACAGGGTGTTATGTAATACCCGCCTCACCTCTTCTTTACGGATAGAGCGGATTAGACTGAGTCGAAAAGTCCTGTACCATTTTGTAATTTTCCCAACGGTTAACGAGTTATTAATTATTGAAACTCGCTGTCTTAGCCCGGCGGGGACTTGTTTATGACACACGGCATCGGCTACGTATAATAAACAACTCTCCGCGCGCCTAGCAACGCCAATCGCGGGACGGCCGCATCTCGCCCCGCGCTCGAATTGGGCGGTAGGCCGGGCTAAGACAGCGAGTTTTAATAATTAATAACTCGTTAACCGTTGGGAAAATTACAAAATGGTACAGGACTTTTCGACTCGGTCTAATCCGCTCTATCCAAAAATAAGAGGTGAGGCGGGTATTACGTAACACCCTGCATATTAGTTTTTCGCCTTTTTCCCCGTCTATGTCGTGTCGCGAATTGTTCGTACTCGAAAGTGCAAAAACCCAAGACTTGGGTGGCAAAAATTTGATTTACATCTATATCGCATATGAAAGAGACACGTTTTCGACCACATACGGACGCGTGGAGTGGCTCTCACGATAACGATGCGGTTGATTGACAATGATTGTTATCGCGGATGCCCCGCATCGATCGAAACTAGTTCAACTTGATTTTGACGAATTCATGTTGCCACGTCGTCGAAGGTATGGCTACTCGATATACTTAACGTTTTCCCTTTTACACGTAGGCACGGACTGACTACCCGGGAGATTTATAATAGTTTTGAGAAATTATCGTGAGGATTCTCTCTCTCTCTCAATATACACCGCGTATACCTCGCGCAATTCAGTTAGGCATATTTTTGCCAAGTGGCGATAAAAATTTGCAACCGCTCCTTCTTGGATTGGTAACGTTCGCTTAATGAAACGTGCGTCGAATGCACGTCTTTTCGTTTTTCCATTCAGCACGCGTAACGCGCGGAATATTCATGGAATACTGCGGATGCCGTGGCACGTAGTTATTGAATATGTTGTCGGATAAATATTAAAAAAAACATACACTCGCGCGCGCGCGCGCGCTATCCTCTTTGCAATAAATCTTGTGAAAAATTACAAATTATCTTATCGAATCATCTCGCAGTAGAATTCTAAATCTCACTAATCTTGTTCCGTTCTGTTTCAGTTTTCTAGATAAGGTAGCCATCGTAAAACAGCCGGATTACACGCCCACGGAACAGGTGATTATTACAGTTTCCCTTTCGTCGAATCTCTTAAGAGCCGATAATGACGGGGTAACTTTGCAAGACGAGTTCGGCATATCGGAAACTTTTTTCCTTTCTCTATATTTCCGTCGTTGAAGGATTGAAATTATTCCGAACTCGAATACTCGCTCGGCGCGAACATAGGCCCAGGTGTTTTTCACTTTCCCCGGTAACCGTTAACCAGAGTTTAGCGATCAACGAGAAAATGAAAAACCAGGCCACAGCGATGTTAACTTAATGTTAACAACTGTGTAACGAGTAACGTTGCGTTTTGTTCCAGGACATCCTCAGGTGTCGAGTCCTCACGTCCGGCATTTTCGAGACGAGATTTCAGGTCGACAAAGTAAACTTTCAGTAAGTCCCATAGCGCGACACGCTGCTCCTCGCGCGCGCTTTATTCCAATGTCGCGTGGCTATATATAGCCGACGTATTACAGTAACATCGGCCGACGGTAAATATAAACGCAAAGCGGCGGCGGCGGCAGCGGCGGCGACGGCGGCGGCGACGGCGGCGGCGGTGGCGGCGGTGGTGATGGCGGTGGCGCGCATCTTAGCCGAGCACCTCTGTGCATTACGGCCGCTGCTGGCAAGACTTACACTGTTATAACGTGTAAGCTGAAATCCGTTAACCGCGTTAACGCCTCCGCAACTTTGTAACATTTTCCCTTTTTGCGTTCACTCGCACAGGTCACGTGCGGCGCCCCACATTATTTTCTATAGGCCCACCACACCCCTTTGTTGTCGCCACTCTCGCCACGCTCGCGCAGCCAAGCTCTCGCTTGTAACGAGTATTTACTCGAGAAATTGGTCCGTTTGTAACTTCTTAAGAAGATCCGATAATGCCGTGACGTATAATAAATAGTAAAACGGCTCGAGAGATGGATTTTGAAGTGAAAGGACCGTCCGAACGGCCCTAAACGGCTTTGCCCTGCGGTAAGGGCGTGGATCGTTGGATCGCGCGCGCGGGCTCGCGACGCCGCAGGTTTATCGAGCAATTTTATCGAGCATCTCCTTCCCGCTTTTGCAGCATGTTCGACGTCGGTGGTCAGCGTGACGAGAGAAGAAAATGGATACAGTGCTTCAACGACGTTACGGCGATTATATTCGTCACGGCGTGTAGTAGTTACAATATGGTACTCAGGGAAGACCCTACAAAGTTGAGACTCAGGGAGAGTCTCGATCTCTTCAAAAGTATCTGGAACAATCGGTAGGCAGCCTCTACCTTAAAAATATTCCTTTTCGAACCCGGGCGTTACACCGACACGTCGTTATCTCGCAGGTGGCTCCGCACGATCTCGGTGATCCTCTTTCTAAACAAGCAAGATCTATTAGCGGAAAAGGTCAAGGCGGGCAAGCACAAATTGGAGGATTACTTTCCGGAATTCGCGCGCTACCAAACACCGGTGGAGCCCGGGATGGCGGCGGATCCCGCGGAAGTGCCGGACGTCATAAGGGCCAAGTACTTTATCAGAGACGAGTTTCTCGTAAGTATAATAATGCACACGATCCGGTCGATCGTAGCTGCTCGACCGCGAGGCATTCTCACGTTGTTGCGACCCGCTTGTCTTTGTAGCGCATAAGTACGGCGAGCGGCGACGGCAAGCACTACTGTTACCCGCACTTCACGTGCGCCGTCGACACGGAAAACATCAAGAGAGTGTTCAACGATTGCCGGGACATCATCCAGCGGATGCACCTGCGCCAATACGAGCTCTTGTGACTTCGTTTCTGCCGACGTCTCCTGTCATCGTTCGTTAACCTGACGGCCACGCTGCACCTACTGCGAATCGCATGAGCCGTGCCGTGCCGTGCCATGTCGTGCCATGTCATGAATTGTGGCCGCGAGGACTCGCTCGAGTTCCACACGCCTGGGCGTATTCAGGTAACGCGTGGGTAGGACTCGCTCGTCGCCAGTCCAGGAAAGCCCGGGAGCGCGCCAGCGGACTCTACGCGCGGTCAACACACCACCACTGCGAGCTGCTCTCCGCTGTGCGAGCTGAATCCGTCTGTTGCGTGCGAAGCGACTTCCTTCTCGCGCGGAATAAATTCGCCGCGAGCCAAGCCGCGAGAGATGACCGCGCGCGTCGACACGTCGGCTAGCACGTGTCCTAGCACCGCGAGTCGCCTGAGTTGGATGAAAACGTACGAGCGGCCCCTCTCCATCACTCGACTCTCCTTTGAGTAGATGAAAGAGTGTGCTGAACGCTCGTCGTCGTCGTATCCGGACGACGGCGGGATCGAAACGCTCTCTCGCGCCGCGCCGTTGAGTCGCGCGCGTGAACCATTACCTCGTTAATTTTATTCCTCTCGCACGCGATTCCGCTCGGTGGCGGAACGCGGGTGAATCCTGTCGTAACTGTCATAAGCGTGGGCCAACGTCGTCGTCGGATGTGATTCGAGGGACGATCCTCTCCGTTCAACACACTCTTGACGTGAATTATCGTTCAGATTAGAGTTAAGGATGTTTCCTAAGACTTAGGCGAACCTCTCCGGTAAACAAAAAAAAAGAAGAAAAAAGAAACAACTCTTATCGGGTTTTTTTTGTACTTTCCTCCTTAATCGTTTCCGAATCTCCGCTATACTTTCGCCTCGCTCCCCTCCGTACATCTCGCTTAGAATCTCCGCGTCTCTTGTTTTCTTCGTTTTCTTTCGTTGAGCCTTCGACTTCCGAATCTCGATTCTTTTTATTATTACATTGGCCCGACCTGTAGGAGTCTCAGCCGCGCCCTTTTTACGAGAAGAGTATTTTGTGAGATTTTACAGTATTTCGAAGAGCGTTTTAATTATATAACTATGTATCGAGTATATGTACAGGGTGACCGTCCACGGATTCTCATCGTTTTAACGTACGTTTCTTACGATCGAGATCTCTCACGGATATGGATTTCCCCTTTTTTCACCGATCTATTTACATATAAATATATATATATATATACAATCTATATATACCGTAAAGAAAAATCGAGTTACTTTTTTAATTTCTCTGTACTTAGGCACGTGCGCGCGCGCGCTACCCGCAGTAGCAATCGTCTCTGTATATCCTAGCCCTAGCCCACGTAAGAAATGTGCCACGTTCAAGTTCTTCGTTACTATACGCACGCAAGTATAATTTCGCGATACGTTGCACGCGTTTCGAGACTTGTGTAAGGGTAATCTCGTTTTTCCTTTCACCCTGAAATTCGCATCTCTCGCATTCTCTTTCGGATGTAACGTGTACAAATTTTTACGTTCCTGATCCGATCGACTGGCTGGATCGTTTTCGCGGTCCCGAGACGCGGGCCGATGCGCGAAAAGATGTTGTTGCTCGCGCATCGCGCCACGACAATTGCATCCCACTTTCCTCGTCGTCGCTACTTGAACATCCCGTGTGCGGTAAGCCATCCGCCAACTTTTCCTCGATTTTTACCATGTTTTTAGTATCGAAAAATAACAGAATGCTCGCGCGCTAATGACGTATATACATACATAGATCAAGCAACGCAATTTGAAGACGGCTAATTAGAGCAGCTACTCCAGTCACTTTCCTACTGAAATACGGAAATGAAATATTTTTTCGCTACAGTATTTAAAAGTAAATATATAATCACAAATTTATAATTGTATATAATAATTTTGTAAAAAGAAGAAACTATATATACATACATACCTATATTTTTGGTGAGAGATGTGTACCAAGTCTGAAAATTTGGCATGCGTTAAGAGAAGGAAGATTGGCCGCGGTTATTATTAATAAAGAGAAATAACATAACGCATAAATAATTAGGATTAACGACTAATGTAATCTTGCTAGCTCGCTGAGAGATAATGATGATGTATCGGAAAGGAAAAAAAAAGGGAAGATTTCGACGAATAAGTCCTCGCGCATTTACATTGTCAATTACCGACTTCATTCTTGTTGCAAAAGAATCGGGAATCCTTGGTCTATGTGCGTATATCATTGTGTGCTCGCGTATCGAGTTGTTTAGAGGATTTATGCATGTGCGTATACGATATAATGTCACTCGTACGTTCTCCATATGTACATACACATCGTCGTATATCTCGTCGTCGCTTATAACGAGTTTTCTGTGTAATTGAAACAGAGAAGGGAATCCCGTAAAAAATTGCGCACAGCCCGCTCGCATACACACACTTGACGCGCGTTGTTCGGTTAATCTTTTAGCTACGTATCGCGACACAAGGATCTAGCGAGACTCGAGACGTTTACAGTAACATTTTTCTTTCGATCGATTGCAATTTCTCTCGCGATTGATTCCACATTGCCCTAGCTATTTCGTGGCGATTAATGTGGCAAATCCTGATAGTTCACGGACAGTTGATAATCGCAGTCCATCTCGTCTCCAATTGTCTAATCTGAAAGAATCTTTTTTTGCATATTGTGAACAAAGGGTTAACGCCGATGACCGACTCGTCGTGATTACCGCAAATAACGAGAATCAAATCGAAGCAAGTAAAATAACAATTAAGGTAAAACCGAGCGAGATTCCGAGGGTTTTGCGTAGCACACTGTAATACACTCGATCGTTACTTCTGTATGTTTTTTTTTTATTAAGTTACTGATTGTTAATCGTGTCTTTGCAATTTTATAGTCTAATCTTTTTGTTATGGCGGGAGCGCACAATTGAAACGGCCACGTTTCGGTTTGTCTCACAAGATCGTTTCTAAGGTTTAAGGAATCTTGGCCTTCTTTTGTACAAGTGCCCATGCAACTTTATCTTCTTTTTTTATCTCGCTATTTTACTCATTGTAAGTGACGTTACACTGTAGTTTGTCCGCTCGACTTGTTAAATTATTATCTCGCGCGCGACTCTTACACTTTTTACCATAACCCGACGAGAACATAGGAATCTCGGGGCATTACATAACAGGTATCCTCTACATGCCGACGTGTCCACAACTACGTAACTGTAACTTCATACAATATCGGTGTACGTGTACAAGTACGTGTGGAAGCATGGTACCAAAAAGTCGACCGTAAACATCGCCAAGTAAAATTCCTCTTTGCGCCCTGTCTTATTTCATTTACTTGGTAACTCGGGGTAAAGAATCGTAGAGTTGTGTTTGAAAATTTTTAGCCTGTCTTTTTACAGAGGACGGGGGGGGGAATAGAAATCATTGATTCCACAACGTTCGGCGAAGAAATGGAATAAACCGGTCGTCTCAGTGTGTATCTAATTTGCACCTATCGTGCTAGCATATAAGTACAGACAAGCCATAGTTTGTAACATATTAACTTATTTATAAGTTCGCGAAACGTTATTTTTACTACGACTGAGGAAGAGAAAGAGAGAGCTAGAGAGAAACCGAGAAAAAGGAGAGAATCTCTTCGCGATTATTGTCCATCAAACTTTCGTGAAACGTTGAATGTTCACATCCGGCACAAAGTCGAATGGAGGCGAATATAACGAGTAATTAGTACTTTCGTGCCTAGATTTCTTTCCCTTCTCCTCTTTTCCTCTCTTTTTCCATAGTAGAAGAGAAGAAGTAACGGGTACGCCCTGTTTTCTGATTTCGAGAGGTTTACGTAGCGACGTCGAACGGAAATTAGAAGAGAAGATAAATCGAAGCCACGTAATGACGGATTTCTATTGTCTGTGCTACTGGCCACGACAGTACGTACGTTTTGTGTTTGTTGTGTGCGTGCGTGGGTATGCGTGACACGTAAGGACAATGTCGCTATTATCCACAGACCATGAAAAAGAAAGAATTCACGAGTGTGTAATGTATTATTCGTATGTGCGAGTATGCGTGTACGCAAAAGCGAAGTGGACGATGCGATGTGCCGAATAAATAGCTGATTTACGTGGTTCGCGGCTATATATGTTGTAGTGCGACATATACATATGTTATATACATAGACGCCGAGATCGCACAAGTTTCCTTTTCTTTTATCGTACGTAAAAAAACACAAAAATGGGCGTTCATATATACTGAGTGCGAGATATATCGTAATTTGCGCAGACTTAATATTATTTGTAAATATTATCGAGGGAAAGCGATGACGTTTCGATGGACCCGTTCAAAATTCGAATTTGAGTCTCGCGATCTGGATCGCGGATGAACGACCGGTAGTGTTAGGGAGAGCCGCAAATCGAATCGGTGAAAACGCCGTCACCTGTTGAGTCGAACGCGAGATACGTCAACGATCGTGAGTGTGATTTAAGCCGATAATGAACGGAAAAGAAAGCAACGCGATGTTACGCGATACAACGCCAATCGTCTATAAAAAAAAAACAAGGAAAGATAATAGATGCAGCACGTTGTCCGCGAAGCGCATTATTGTTTCGTCTTTAGCAATATTCTTTGTGGACCACGTCGCCGATTATGTAGCCTTAAATAGCGAAAGTAAAAGTAGAGACGCGTGGAATTGGCATTGGCACAACATAAACAAGGATATAAGGATATTCGACGCAACTATTAACAAAAAGGTGTAATTACGAGCTATCGCGCTAACTCGGCTGTCGCCAATTTTGGTTTAGTCTATTCCCTTGTAAGGTAGAAAACGAAAAAGCTAGTAGAGAGACAAGAGTTTAAAAGGGGAACCATCTAAAAGTGTGTCTGAAGTATTAGAATTGAGACAATGTTTTTTTCTTCTCTTTAAAAACAAAATCACATTGACGTCAATGACCGCTAATCCGGATTGGCAATGCGACTCTCACAGTCAGCCTACATAATACAGTTGACGGCTGAAAACAGTTAAAAGTAGGTGATTATCCAATGATCCTATTAGCTTCGGAATTTGAGAACGTTATGCATTTCTAATAAGAGCGTCTATCGTACGCGGCAGTTAGATGCTGCGTGCGATACGGTTTTGATTAGATTACCAACGAATCATGATGATTACGCTGTTATTCGATAAATAATCTCGCATTGTCGAATCTTATTAAAAACGAATCGTATCGCTGTAATATTAATTATTATTGCCGTCGCGACGGTCATTATTAAGAGCTGACCTACTGAAAGTAGCAGCTTGAGCGGGTTCTTCGTAACTAGTGTCGAGAATCGGATTAAAAATCATGCACAAAATCTCGAAAGTTGATGTGAGCGCGATGAAATCACGATCGATGTCCATACGGCACGAGCGCGACTTTGCTTTTATAAGAGATTTATCATGGAATTTTATATCCTAATTTTATATACTTATATATAAAATGGCATGTCTTAATCTTGAGGAAGAGAGAACAAGAGAGTTTCTTTGCGAGTTTTCCAGAAAAAAAAAACCGAAAATCTAATTTTACGGCACAAACAAGTGCGTCTTTCACTCTGTCGAGAGCGTTAGAAGCGAATGCATAAGAACACACGTGAGATACAATTGTATAGAGCACGCGCTTGCATTTCCACGTTACCATTTGTCACGAATAAACCGTATCCGACGATTAGTTTTAAACAGCGAGCTGCGAAATAATGTCATCTGATATACTTTCTTCTTGGATGATTTCATCGACGGAATCAGAAACAGAGATTGTATATTCGGCAGTGTTATCGTTTAGTCCGATATGTGATGTATATACATATATAAATATATATTCGTTATATTTATTAAAATTTTAAAAATATTGAAAGCGACGCATATATATATATGTATACGTATACATATATGTATGTATTATATATAGAACTTGGCAGCTAACCGAAATATATGGAACGAGCGAACGTTTCCACGAAAGATGCGAATTTATTTCGGTTCGAATCGATATCTCGATGAAATCGTCCAAATGTGGCATAATCTTTCGGAGTTGGGCCAGTGCACTATCTTATCGCTCTTCCATTCACGGAGAGGAAAGGAAATGTTCCATTATCTTGTATCTATATCATGGTTCCACCATGGTTCCATAGTGGATCGTGCCTTTCTATAGTTTTTTCCTCACGCAAGTTGTTTCGTTAAATCTCTGTCATTTGTCGGAAAATTCGATTCTTTTCCTAGGTAAATTAGAAATGCGAAGCGATCTTACGTTTCTCATACTCTCGTTACCGTAGAATTAATTTTTAATTTAAAGTAGTAGATAAAATGAAGGTAAATAAATCTGATCTCTACACACACACACACACACACACACACACACACACACATGCACATAGATATAGGAGATATCAAAAAATATGCATGCGGTATGTTATTTTCTCTTCTTGAACTTTCCTTTCTGTTGTATGTCAAGTTATGTTTATGCGATCTCGTGTATATGCATAATTGTTTAATGTGAGATCGCTCCGCCGTTTTAGGAAAAAAATTGAGAAGCAAGAGAAAGAAGCTACTTGTGCCTCGAGCGCGTTATCTATTCTAGAAATTAAGTAATTAATCGAAATGGTGTCATTTCTATAAGGATATATGTGTGGTGAACGATCGTCAGTGCTATTTGGAATTTGACTTTTTCTAGTCTTCGATAGCGGTTCGCTGGGCTCCACATTTTTATAAAGCGTAAAATATCGCCGTCAAATATACATCATCGCGCGTATAATGGTATGTATTATAAGAGAGATATTATATACAGAGAGAATGAGAGAGAGAGAGAGAGAGAGAGAGAGAGAGAGAGAGAGAGAAAGAGAGAGATGGGGTTTATTGATCTTACCCAAAAAAAAAGAAAATATATCCAGTAGGATAGCTTATAAGAAGCGATTAAAATAAAGTATCATGATCGGAGGAGACTGACGAATACAACGTCGTTCCGTAAAGATAATCACTTTAATCCAAATCGCTATAAGAAAATCGACGGATCACGTAATTATTATTACGTGTGATTGTGAGAAGAAAACGTGAAAGAAAAGAAACCAAAAAAAAAGGAAGCAAGGAAAATTACCGTCAATATAACTACGTCCCCTCGTGCCCCGTTTTCTCTCGTATCATTAAATTATTCGTTATTGCGTGTCTCTTAGAAAGATGTCTAGCTGAAGACTTAAAGATGGATTATATTATTATTATTATTACTATTACTATCAGTGCAAGAGAGAAAGGCGAAAGTGTGAAATGTCACCTCTTCGATGGTGACATTTAATAAGTGGTACACTAATTTAGGTGCGATTGAGTTGACACAAGTCGAGTAAGAGCAAACGCGATGTGAGTGATTGGCGAACTCGTGAAATTCGTTAGGAAATCAAATTCATATTGTTCGTGCCACGATTTCCATCAACTTTGTTTGTACTCTCGCCACTGTGGCTTGTAATTCCGTCGAGAGGAGTTACATAGATATGTAAAGAGAGAGAGAGAGAGAGAGAGAGAGAGAGAGAGAGAGAGAGAGAGAGAGAGAGAGGAGGAGGAAAAAGGAAGAACGAGATGAGGTGAATCAATAGTACCTTGCGTACAGTGCAATTAATACAGATGAAAAAAAATATAATGCTGCCGTGTAAAAGTACGCATACAAACGATCAAATACACATGGTTAAAGGCACTTAGCGTGCGTGTATGTATATCATTGTATATCTGATGGTGCCATTCGAATGCAAATCGTGGAACGAACACAAGTAGAATATAAAATAAACACACACACATACATATAAATATATATGCAATTCATTGAATCAATCGCGCAGTTTGAATGGTGTGCATTGCGTGTATTTCAGACGATGTATATGGGACTACGTGCATGACTGCGTTAAATGTGTTACTAGATTACGAGAAAAATATTTCATTCTCATTCTGTGATGACTGTCTGCTGAATATACGAGAGGCGAAAAGAGAACAAGAAACGTTTACGTCAAGTCTTAAAGCTAATGAATTAATAAATTGATTTAGCGAATAAAGATTTAATTAACATTCGTTGTAGTAACTGCGCAAGAGGAAGGAAGGGCAAGAGAGAGAGTGCGTGTGTTAGAGAGAGAGAGAAAGAGAGAGAGAAAAAAGGGAGAAATGAATCTTTATAAACGTAAAGAGACGCGCGTGTCTCTCGTTCGTTACGTGTGTGAAGAAGAGGCGGACACGATAAATTCATCGCGCGCAAGGACTCTTTAACATGTTAAAAACGAAGAAAACCGAAAACACGCTGTATCCGAGTTGCGGTGAGAAGAGAACAGTATGATTTGTATACTGTATAACTTTAGTCGTTTACCATTGCTTTCGAGAATATATAAGAGTTATGTGTATAAATTATTATGTGTAATTAAACAGAAGTCATTTAGTAAATTCTAAGCGTACGTAATATGTATATTATAAATACAGAGAAGAAAAACGTATGCACAAACAATATAAGCACGCATATACATGTATATACATATATGTATATGTATATGCAAAAAAATTACAAGAGTAAAAAGGGAGAGCCATTGTATCATACGTTTGTGTAACTAAAATGATGTGTAAAATGAAAGTGTGATGGTATAATTATTTAGGATATAACACAATAAATACTTACCGTATGTCTTACGTAAATGGCACATGCCTCTGTGGCAATTAGCTGTCAGGTCCAATTTTTGTAGAGCATATATACATATAATTTTATCGCATATTATTTTATTATCACACAAGAAAAAGAAGCACAGTTTCATTTTTCTGCTATATTTTTATTTTTATTATACAACATGCCATGATATTTTATAAATGTGAAAGAAGCTTCAGAAACGTTTACAAGTTTACAGAAAGAAACAGAATAGCAATGGTAGTTAAATAATGTTAAAACATTATAACATTAATTAATTTTCTTTAATATTTATTATTAGAATAGGACACCAATTATTATTATCATTACTAGAATTGTGAGATTCGATTAGAAGTTCAATCGTTAAATATCCTCAATTGAGTATTTCGTATTTAACGCTCCGTTATATGCGTGTTTAAAAACGTAATCTGCGCTCTAGATTCCAACGCAGCTAACTCGGCCACAATAGGAGCCATTTGTTGGACATGATTTTTATAATCAGAGCCTATAAGAGAGGTAGATAGACATATAATAACTGTTTGTTGCGACATAATGAGAAACAATATTACGTACCCATCGCCATTCTTTTTTCACCATACGTAACTTTTCCATCAAACTCGTTCATTGGCACTTTTATGTCCGAACCGACTTGTTGAATCGTCACGTTCAAATGATCCTCAATATCTGCCAAGTACTGCGAAGACATCAGTTAATTATTAGTATTCTCATCCACATTAATTAAGTTTTATATGTAATATAGAAATCAAAAGTAGATTACATATTGGAGGCTTACCCGAGGTTCATTATACCAGGTACAACAGCCACCTTGATCGGTCAGGCTGGTGTTGCTGCAATTTCTTCCACGAGATGGACACCATTCGCCGTGATACCACACTTTTTCTGGGACACTACTGACTAAAGAGATGGCCAGGCCCATCCTTTCAGCTCTACCAACTCTTCCAATGCGATGCACATAATTAGATTTCTCGTCGGGCAGAGTCACATTTATCACTAAAAAAAGTAGTGCAAAATTAACGTTACGTGTTCTCGTCTTCGGATGACCTCGTCCAAATGACTACTTACTAAAAGGCAAACCGGTGATATCCAATCCTCTAGCGGCTACGTCGGTGCAGATCAAAAATTTTACCTCTTGCCGTTTAAACTTTTCCAAATTAGCCTTACGTTCCGCGGGCTTCCTGTCTCCGTGCAGACATACGCACGAGAACTGCTGTCCGCCGGACTTCTTTAGATATCTCTCGAGATTATCGCAATCGAGTTTTGTTCTGCAGAATATCAATGCCCGGTCCATTTTATGTTCTTTGATAGCGCGTATGCAGTACTCTCCCTTCAGTATCTTCACAGCCTCTGATAAGGAGCCTGTAGGACAAGCGCAATCATTAAATCGCATTACTCTTGTTTATCGCGTGAGATTATTATCTTAGAATTACGACAATTGTCTAACAGGCAATATCATTTGTTCTATTCATCTCGTCTCTTGCGTGCACGCCGTCAGTCTCGATGTAATTCCTCAAGTTACGCCATGATTTATCCTTCTGTGGATCTACCATCACTACGATATGATGTACGGTCTCTGGTACCGCATCTTCGCCCTTCAAATCAACCCAAGTTGGGAAATGCATCAAACGTTCCTGCAACAAAGTCAAACGGTCAAAATTTTGCTGGATATATTCGCTTACTTATATACTACACAATCATAATAAATAGCTCTCGTGCCATACTTACGGCCATCTTTTTAACTTCGAATGCGTGTAACGTCGCCGAGCACACGATCATCTGCAATCTTTTGCCGTCAGACGTAATTTTCGGGATTTGTCTGTGCAAACGATCGATAAGTTCGGTGTAACCCTGTTTTAATAGACCATCAGCTTCGTCCAGCACAAAAAACCTTGAAACACATAAATTTATACCGATCTGATGCCATTTCTTTGGAGTTAAGTCACAAACTACCTGCAGTGTGTTAATAACAAATAACCGCCTTGTATGAGGTCCTCCAATCGTCCGGGGGTCCCAACTACTAGATCCACGCCAGAATTCAAAGTAGCGATCTGTTCTTTCACGCTTACTCCACCAATAACAAGCAATTCTCTGATCGTTGGATCCTTTAAATGTGTTTTAAACTGAAAAATAATAAGGCCACTTTGTTAATATCATATATGTATATATTGTACTCTCGATGGCAAATTTATTCAAATTCTTACTTTCTGAATTTGATTGTAAGTTTGTTCAGCTAATTCGCGAGAAGGCTCTATAATGATCGCCTGAGGCGCGTTATTTCTCGGTTTACCGCTTTCGTTAGACGAACTCTGATTGCTGTTAACGATATTGTTCTTGACAAATTCTTTTGGAGCCGACGATACAGCCACATAATCATTTGGAGGCGGATGCTTAAACGATTGCGCTCCAAAATTGAAGGCCATCTCGGCATTTTTTAGCACGACAGCTGGGTAATAAGTCTGGGATCTTTGCTGCGCATTTAATGTAAATGCGACACCCAAATCCACGCCGTTCTTGGTAAATTTTATTTCGCCCTTTGCCAAATCGAGGAAACATCCGATCACGTCGTGCATTCCAAAAGCCTCTCCATAATTGTCAAATTGCTTCGCATTTGATTTCTTTCCGGTACCACCAAATCCATAACCAAATTTATCCGTTCCCAAATCTAAGGCAGCCTGTGCCAAGAATAAAATTCTTAATGAATCTCTCTCGTCATAATAAATAAAAGTAATTTAAAATAATGATTGCTGTATCACTTATAAAGGTGATACTTGCCTCGGACGTAGACCAGCCTACTCGACACAAACCTTCGTCAGTAACAGTTGCTTCGAAAAAATATTTGCCACTTCCTGACACTCCTTTATTTGTGCGACAACCATGCCATTCTTTTTGTTCTCTACTCTGGCATCTTAAACCATCTAGCGTTACTGCCATGGCTTTTCCTCTATCAAAGAGGCTCAGTCCCCAATGTGTCGCTATAACGAAAGAAACTATTTGTTATACTACTTTCGACAACAAATTTTGTAAGTTTGCACTGTTGTCAAAATTTAATACGCACGTTGTTGAACTACTGCAGTTCCGGCTCCTTTTCCAGACTCCAAATCTTTAAGAGTCTCCCAAACTATTTGCAAAATAGGCAAACAGAAAGCACCAGTTTTTCCACTACCAGTTTCTGCAGCCATAAGTACATCACCGCCACCCAGAATCAACGGGATAGCTTCGGCTTGAACGTCTGTTGGTAATCTGAAATTCACATGCTATTGAGACTAATTATAAAAACAGTATTGAATCTTTCTCTCTCTCTCTCCAAAATGACATATTTAAATTATTAAGTTACATCTTTTGATCTCCTTTTTACTTACGTCCAATCCATCTCGTCAACCGCTCTTGCTATTTCCGGCAAAACACCCATTTCTAAAACGTAAAAAAGATTAACATATAATTGTGATATAAGATACCTATAACAATTATTACGCAAATTGACACAACTGAATTGACACTTTACGCGAGCCAAGTTACAACACGAGTTATTTGTTAAAAACATCATACCTTCGAAAGCAGTCATTCTTTTTCAATTGTGTTTATCTGGATACGTATAAAAATGCAAAAAATTAGAATTGCGATTAATAAATATATGCCAGCCGGTCTTCGTTTGCAAGTATTTTGATAACGCGAAGACTCGGAGGCCTCGGAGTTCGGAGCAAAAGCGCTATCAGCCCCACCTTCTGGCTATACAGCACACTTATTGCCAGATGGCTCTGCAGTGTCAATTAGGAGTAGATAATGAGCGAAGCCTTTCTATGTTATTTATTTCTTTCATGATAAGAGCGGACCAATAACGTGAGGGCAAAAAGCATAGAACTTGTAGACATATGTATAAAGCCTATCACACAATGCGAGGCAACAGGCAACAGGAATAGGGAATAGAATTTTTGACGCGTTGGATTGGTTGAAGGAAAATTTCCGACGAATCCAACGCGTCAAAAATTCTATTCCCTATTCCTATTGCCTGTTGCCTCGCATTGTGTGATAGGCTTAAGTTCAAAGGTATAAGTTCTATGCGGTAGATACTATTCCGATCATGAACGTAAGAATACCTGGACGGAGTACAATGCCTCGAGACTTTTCGAGAATCTCGAAAACTGGGAAAGCATCAGGAGAACATGATCAGCAAAGAGGTGGCACTATCTAAATTTCCACGAATTTTTTGCAAACCCAAAATCTGACAAACTCAGGAGAACACGGTCAGCAAAGAGGTGATACTATTTAAAATTCCAAGAACTTTTCAATATTTCCAAGAATTAGAATTCCGAGAATTTCAAACTTCAAATCGCGAAAATTGAGAATCTTGAAAACTGACAAAGTATCCGGAGAACATGATCAGGGATAGGTTAAAAACGTGGCATAAATGAAGAAATGATCCAGATAATTGCAATTTTAATTTTATTATTTTAACTGACTGCACCTGTTCACAGCTACACTTTCTACCAATCCAAATAAACTTCCCTAGTAATCAAAATGGCCCCGCCATTATCCATCGCACACGAATATCTAGATACGACACTTCTAAAGGCCTGTGGTCCACGATGTTATTGGAATGGTTCCACCACAGTATAACCAGTAGTTGCACTCTCTGTCGGCGCCTTTGATCTGGGCGTTCTCAATTTTCTGCCATGTTTTTATTCGCGCCAACAGTGTATCAACGGCTAAAAGTGCCTGGGCCCTTTTCAGGATCGTATCCAGGAAAGGCACATACGAACTGGCATACATTATTTATTGTAAATGGAAATGGCC